CCTTATTCAGTCTTGAAGCCGCAATCTGAACTGCTAATTCCACCGGGATTGAAGTAAATAATGCCACAACATAAAACGACACCATTTCCTCATCATCTTCCAACCGGAACTCACTTACTTTCCGAACTTACTCATATGAATTCTTTATATGGTGCTGAGAGTTACCAACAAGTGGAGATAAAATACCACGTAGAAACTTTGACAACTCGTATGTTGTAGAACCAATAAAACTAACAATAGGTCGTAATGCTATGCCATCTTTATGGATCTTTGGTAACCCATATAAGCGCGGTGTTATACCATCCGTCGTACTTAACTTTCGGTATAACTTTTTTCCCAGCTTTTCTTTCTTTGTAACCAAAATTAATTTCAATCGCTTTTCGCATTCTTTTGCTGGATCTTTATCCAATAACATGTATGTCTTATTGTCATTCAACATATTGTTTATTTTCTCTTCATACTGAATTCTATCCATCACCACTGTCGTATTGCCTTTGTCTGCTTTCAAGATCGCTATTGTTTCATCCTCCTTTAAATCTCTTATAATTTGCCTTTCTCTTTTAGTCATGTTGTCCTTTGGTAACTTCGCCTGTTTCAATATACTAGCCGTTTCTGTTCTAATTTCAGTTTTTTGTATCTCATCTAGACTGTAAATTGAACTTTCTACCTCGGCAATAATATCCATCATCGGAACACGTTTTGGTGCCATTGCAAATTTCAAATCTTTTTGTAATACAGAGCATTCATCGGTTGTGAAGGGCAATGGTTTAGTAGTCCTTTCATATATTCAAGGTACAACGGAACGATTAAAACGGACATTAATTAAGAACGGATTTGAAGTTGCAATGAGGCCGGTATGCACGTTGAAAAAACAGTTAGTAAAACCAAAGGATGTATTATCAATCCAAGAACAGACAGGGTGGTGTATAGCATCCCCTGTGCGGGCTGTGATGTAGAATACATTGGTGAAACAGGACGAGCTTTTGGAACGCGAGAGAAGGAACACAAGGCAGCAGTCCGTTTGGGGAAGATTGAAAAGTCAGCTTTGGCTAAGCATGGGTATGATTGTGAACATGGTATAGCATGGAACGATTCAAAATTTTTATGTAAAGAGAGCAGATGGGCGCAACGTAAATGGAAAAAAGCATGTATGATTGAGCAAACGGGTAGCGGTATTTCGAACAGAGATAATGGTAGGATACTTCCTGACATTTATAAGCCGATTTTAAAGAAGTAAGAACTATGAATTATTGTCATTCTTTAAACAGAGAGTACTGTGTTATATAATTGGGCTTTTGGTACCCTTCCTTTTATAATAGGTTTTAACCTTAGGCTTAATTATTATTGTATAATTATTAATGTATGCACATTTGTAGACCGTATTTAAGGCTAGAATTTGTTTACAACAGTTATTCCCTGATGATGGACGCGTTCGTCCGAAAGCTTGGAAAAGTTTGTTTTTAATATTTTACTAGTGTAACATAATATATATGTTTTTAATCATGAGAGTTCCGAGTAACATAACCACATTGCATTTTACTTATCTCTTTAAGTCATCCAGCTGCCAATAGTCCAGGTGATGAACAGTTTTTGACTTTTGATACTATGTCAGAGTCATCCATAAAGAACAATGGGCTGGCATAAGAACATATATTTAGCATATAATTAATACAATCTTTTTACAGATAATACCACATAAAATATGGTATGTATTCATGGAAAAACTAGATTTAGGCTAATCATTATTATAATATAATGTCCTCTTTGATCTAAAACTTCCTAATTATCAGACTTGCTCAGTTACCATGGTCTCTCATTTATTTATTGAATCCCTCATGTCTTTCCCCATGCAATGTTGCAAAATTCTGTTCTAATCTAAAAGAACAAATATAATGAATTAACAAGGCAAGCAATATAGCCACAGCAATGACAGCATTATTATGTCATCATCAAGACAATAATAACTCATGGATAAAGGAACATTATGCTGACTTTCTTCGCCTGGCACCAATAAAGTACTTATTGAGTGCCATTGTGCCAGAAATTTAAGCACTTTTAATCTTAACAGCAACGAAATGTCAATGTTTACCTGAATCCCTTTGTCTCAAATGTAAAAATTGAAAGATCGATCTCTTGGTAAATGAAAAACAGGATGGTTTTTCTGAAAAATCAACGTAAGGGCTGGCAACCTAGTATGATTTGGGAATCTTAATTCATCTCAGAAGCATGGCAATATGGCCAATAATGCCAAGAAAAATGCTTGTTTTTCGAAGCAGAGACATTGTGTGAGAATTATCGATGTTTTTCTAGTTCTTTTTATGGCATCACCCTTGAATACTCCACCAAATCCACCTTCGCCAATCAAGCCATTCTCGATATAGTAATAAATCGCACCTGAAAGTCAAAAGCAATTGCTTGCCAATATAACTGAACAACTAAAGAAATATGTGAAGTAAAATGGATTTTAGAATAAAAACGCAAACTCTAAAAATTTTTGTAGCGATAGAATCGACTTGCCTTTTGACTTGCAAACTTCAACAAAGTTTTCCCCATCGACAACTCTAGTGACGCGTGGCACAATTGAAGGTTGGGAAGGTTTGAGAAAATAAATGGGCTTACAAAAGGATTGTTATGGAATTAAACTTTCATAAATCCCTGTCTTTCCCACCGCTGGTAGTGAAGTTTGTGTTTCATCGAGTTTCGGCCGACTTTGTAGTCTCAAAATCCACGAAGTATCTCTAATTCGTCTTCGAACTAGAATCTGAACCCATCCTTGACCAACGCAACTGCACCCATTGCTTGAGTCACAAGATTTCTGTACTGAGCCTACGGTACCAGTGGCCTTTAAATCGCGGGTAAGAAAGTCAGTTGCTTTCGTATCGAATTTTGTGTTTGACACCTGGCTAGAATCATCTGCACGAGCTTTGCTATCAGTTGAAGAAGCCTGGAAATGTCAAATACGTTCCTAAGAGCTTTCACTAGAAGAATATTTAAACTTGGTTGCTCTTCCAAATTATTTTGTTGTTTAAGAATAAATACGCTGGGCAGACAGCGTATGCGAATTTAAACAATGATACTGAAAGCATTTTCCTTACCTGACTAATTGAGGCCTCGTTTTTGTTTCTCTTAAGCTCAACTTTTAAAACCTCAGGCTCCGTGCCCTTCTGCAGTGAATCATCTCCCACAAACACTTTTCCTGCCGAACAATATGCGCATGACATGTTCGAAGTTGCCCGCTTGTTGACTGTAACCGTGATCAACACATTGCCAAGCAACCAACTTCTTGACGCTCCATTGTGCAGGAGTGGTTCTACAACTGCAGTTCTACAAAACAACAAAATAGTCATCTTCCTTGAAACACAGTGCAGAAAAATACGAAGCCAATATACAGACGTTTTTGGTTGGGTCAAATAAGAAGAAAATGTATATTTGACCATCATATCAACCACGATTTCCATCATCTCTGAACTAAGTGTGTTGCTGTAGTCTTCCTTTGATTTCTCAAGGGAGTTTGGGGGTGACTGGAATTTTGGTGGAGGGATGAGTGACTTTAGGGTATGGGTTTGCAGCATCTGAACATATATCTGTGTTGTTAAGACTCTAAAGGAATACAAGGACATATATTTTAACAGAGTTTTCAAATGATTGAAAACGAGCTTCATTATTAGCAAAATTATGTAACATGAAATGGACAAGTTTATGTAACAACACTGACTAAGCTGTATAAAGTTTAAAGACCACTTCTTAATATCTATTGAAAATTTAGCAAGCAATCTCCGTGGCAATAGAATGAGATGTGGACTTACTTTTTTAATAAATGGCACGAATTGCTTTCTTAACAACAGTGGAAAATTGACAAACCAGGATGAAATGACATTATCAGCAAGAGTTACCGTGTATTGAGAGTATCTAAGGTGAAACATTTTCAACTCATCAACAACTTTTCGCCGAATACGATTGGGTGTTTATACAAGCTAGCTCTCTTTAGGGGTACATTGATATTTCGCAAAAGATTTCCTAATTTACGTAACTTCAAGAAACATACCAGAGAGAAATTCTAACAGTGGTATGACAACTTGAGGCGTTGGCGAAAGTTTGGTAAACTTTTCCAGATATGTTGGGAGCAGTCTAAGGAACGAAAATCTAGAAGTTATTGCTCAAAAAATCTTGTATTTGTGAAGGAGTATCTCGCATAACAAGAGACGTTACATTTAGGCTGGATTTTGTTGAAAAACATTTCTGTAAATTCACTGAGTGCATTATCAAGGCACGATTTCAAATATCTCCAAAGCAATAAACTTCTAAAACATTGCAATTACTTCAACCAACTTCATTCTTTACAAAGTGCTAATGGACATAAAAAAGTCTCAAATTCCAGACTATCTTAAGTAGCCATACCTTGTCATATCTGGCAAAGCATTTCTAACATACATATGGTGAGACAGGATACGCATAAGGTCGTGGAATGAGCAACCAAACCAACCTCCAAAGTACGCATCAGACAAAACTAACGAAATATACAACAACGTTTAAGCGAGAACAGACAACCGCTGAAAATAAAGTCAAGCAGGTTCTTATCTGTTCATCTTGACCAATAAAAATGTGGTACGTACACAGCTATGTTAATACCTTCACATGTTACATTAAAATATCCAATTAAATCATTAGTATGGTATGATATAATTATGGTATAAATTGGTTATGGTATGGTATGGTGTGATATAATTATGGTATGATATGGTTATCGTATGGTATGATTTGTCTTGGTATGGTATGGTGTTATATAATTTTGGAATTATATGGTTATCGTATGGTATGATTTGGTTATGGTTAGTTATGTATGATATGATATGATTATATGATATGATTATATGATATGTTATGGTATGTATGGTTTTAGTATAGTTATGGTAAGATATTATGATAGATGCAAAAAACTGAATGAGAAGAACCGTACTGAAAAAATTCTAGCGTACAAATGAGGTCGGCGCATGTCATGAGGAACACGAAATAATCCAGGAAGAAAATCATAATTTCAAACCTGAATGCAAAGTAAAATTTTTAGTTCATGATTTTGGTGTGAATGTGCACAACTTAACTTCCCTTACCATTTTAGATAACACTGTACATATTTAACGCAAGTAGTGCTTTCAAGAATGTATCAAGTTTTTATCTTGCAGTGCCTCTGGAAAGTTTCTCAGAACAACATACAACACCTCCAATTCCAATTTCTAGAAAATAAAAAAAGTTGAACTTTATTCGAAACTTTATGCCAGATGATATATTATGATTGAAAAGTTTACCTGTTGTAAGCACACAAGAATAACATTCATTGCCTCGTTGTAAGGAAGTGAGACAATCCCGGTTGTCTTATCTTCTGCAGAACTAAAACAAAAATGAGGATGTATTACACTAAGAAGAGAAGGAATTTTGGAAGCAGAATACCTGACATGCGTTGCACTATCATCATTAACCAACCTTTTCCTTTCAGAACAAATAACATACGAAGTGAATTTAACTTTTCCAATTTTGTCTTCGCACAGCCTAGATGTTCTCAGCTCGCAGACTGAGGAAACATTGAAGAATCTTTAAAAAACAACAATGTAAGACATCATAAAAAAATCGCAGAAAAAACATTGAATTTGGCTTACCACAAGTCGTATCTCCGATGCAATAGACGTCCGATAGCGATTGTCATAATGAGTTTTTATGTGGTACACTAATATATTGAATATTCGTTCTGCAATTACATAATAGGAAAGGGAGAATAAAAAAATTATATTTTATATAACACCAGTGTAAAATGAATGATAAATGGAACTGTACAGCAAAATAGGCTATTACTCCTGACAATAATGTTGCACAGAAGCAAGACATTAAATATCTCAGAAATATTTAGGCTAAAGACCCGGGAATACCACTAAATTATAGCGGTTGAAACGATTATTTGAATAGTATATTCCAACCAGCATATAGCTATAACCTGCATTTGTATTATAAGTAAAAACAATAATCAAATAATGGTTGCTTTGTTATCTCAAATTACTCACTCATAGCAAGATATATTTTAGAAATTCCATATCTTTTCGCTTTTTTGGTACTCTGTTGTCTTCAAAATGTCCCAATTTTACACGTTATCAATCTGTTGTAATTCTGAGTAATTCTTGGGCTTGGATGTGCAAAGAAATCGAAGAAATAGTATTATATAAATAGTAAATCGATTTTGACGCTAAATATATCAAAATAGTACTGAATATTTGAACTAAACCACTGCAACCGGTTTTTGTTTGCATTTTGGGCAATATCCTAAGGATTAGGCCGCTTTGATGTGTAATATTGAATATATAAAACGCTGAATATCATACCTGTGAATAGCTATGTATGCATGGCGGTAAAACGCCATATTTCCAGTGGAATTTCCAATATTTAGCCTTGAAATTTACTGCATTTGAGATTTTGTCAGTATGTTAAATTCACTATTATTCCATGCCATGCCCAATTCGACAATATTCTGAAAGGTTCAGTAGTTAAATGTACCACATAATTTAAATGCTACAACAGTTTGAAAGATTTACTTGCCTTTTAAATTCCGACTTTCCTGCTCGATGGGGTTCTAAAGCTTGTGGGGAAAAAAAGCTATTTAATTGAACTGTAATTTTTTGTGAACTTCATGAGAGAAATAATCGAACAAATACACACATACTGTGATATATTGGCTTGGAATATGCTCCAAAACGTGTGAAATCGAACATTTGTTGTGCAATCACCTTGCAAATATCAAAGAAACGGGATCAAAATTTGAATATAGATTAACCAATCTGATTGGTTTTTATTGAACCAATCGTGGAGTACAAAAATTGACCAATGACAAATTGACCTGTGCACAGAAATAACCAATCAAGTTGTCTTAAATTGCTGAATTATGCAAGAGCCTACACGCTATAAAACAGAGCCGTCTGCGACCGTTTTCTTCAGGTAAGTTAGTTCTTTCTTTAGGTAGGATCAAGGTATGTGTAATTATTTTTTTAATAGAAGTAGATCCCCGTGGCCACTCTGTTAGCTAAGAATCTCTGTCCCCGTATCTGGAAACACGGCTCACTGCTTGTCTAACTGTGTTTTGCTCTTCGTTTTCTAGGGAGCTACTAATAATTTTTTTTTGTGTTTTTCAGACAAAGACGATCGTAGTTTAGTTTCAGTATCCAACCCTAAGAAGCCACCCCATATCCATACCCTCAGTTAAACCCCTAGCCACAATTGCCTTCATGCTAATTTTGAATGCTTACTTTTTTAGGAACAACTCACCATATTTTTTGTCGTTTCAGCTACAGAGTTAGTGGGTTGTGGGTTGTTGGATGTTGTGTCGTCGGTTGTGTGTTTTGTGTTGTACGTTCGTATTGTCTGCCAGTCGGTTTGCGAGTTGCCCTGTAGCTCTCGCTTTTTCCTGGCCACACAAAGAACACATTTCAGGTACTCCTTTTTAGGAGATTGGGTTCGAGTCCCATGAATGTGTCAATTTTGCGCTGATATCTAATGTGGTCCGTCTCTAATACAAAAGAACAACATCCAACGGACAATCTGCATCCTTTCACCACACCAACTACAAGTGTTGTCCTCATACAACAGAATGGAACTTCCAACAGAGTAAGGAGTAACCAATACCCAAGATGAAGTTCTCGTTACTTCTCAAACAGGACAGGATGCGGCACTTGTTAATGAAGTATTCTCGATGTTTAAGGGATCCTCTCAGTTAGACGTCCGATGAGAGGATATTTCAAAGTGGTAAGCTGATTTAAACTTGTGATTACTGTGCGAATACTTCACCCATTTTAATAAATATGAGATCACTAAACTCATTGCTGTCTGCTCGTAAATGGCGCACACAGATAATTTGATTTTATCTGGAAGTATTTTATCAAATCAATTAGAAAGTGTGTTATCTCAAAGAAAAAACATTTACCTATTTGTATAAATTCAGTTCATTTCAAAAGCTTTCCTATAAGCCAAGATATTTATTGCCGAACTTGTACTTTTTAAATTGAATTTTAGAGAAGCGAAAATACGCAAAGCCTTCCAAAAATCTCGCCTAAAAACCTCCAAATATTTGTAGTATACATTGGGATCAATATTTTCATCTATTTTACTTGAAATACAGTCGATTTGGCGATTTGTAGTGATATTTCCAACAAACGTGTTTACAAATGGAAACTGGAAAATGTGCATATAAAATTCCATATCACCATATTAACGAAAATTTGACAATTATGACTTCTAGGGACAATTTTACCCCGGAAATCGATTACCGGGCTTATTTTACCCCCACGGGGTAGGCAACCTAACATTTTTGACACCTCCAACCTCACGTGACAACCACATGTGCATGCAGCTGAGCAACGCCTCGCTATACAAAATAACAAATAAAAAAAGCTTTATTTTTCGAGTTTTTCTGCCTATCCTGACTTAAAAACTATCAGAGAAGATAACTAAAGCCTTTACAGTTTACATGTAACGGTTAAAAGATGACAGGATAAAAATAACGAAGAAAATAACGAAATTCCAAAGGCGAGTTATATTTCTGTTTGTAATCCCGTGTAATTTGATATGATTTTTAGAGCTGCACTGCAGTGTCAGTTAACAGGAATATTGATTAATTTCTGGATTAAAACAGAAGCGATTGGGTTAAAGTATTTTTCTTCAGCTATATTTGGTGGTATTTTTGTGCTTTTTAAATTAAACGGATTAATTTAAACATTAAAAAACCAAGATAATTTCATGATATCTGGTGATGGAAGGCATGACAAGAATTATGCCTACACAATATTTTGCTGCACAGTTCCATATGTCATTCATTTTACACTGGTGTTATTAAAAATAGATTTATTTTTCTCCCTTTCCTATTATGTAATTGCCACTTACCAATATACAGGGGTTGGGGGTATTATGTGAATATGAAAGAAAACAGCTTGCATTTTGTTCTGTATATGCTTTTTTTTATTGAAGTCACAAAATACACGCTGTTACTATACAGTATAGGGCCTTGTGATTCATACACAATTACATATAGTTTCAATTGTGTGAAAGTGATGTTCTTGTAATCTCAATTGTAGATTCTATTGCATATAGAGCCGAATTGGTATTGCAACATATCTTTGAGAATTGAAGTTTATGGCGGTTCTTCAGGTATGTTCTAGCAATTCACTGAAGTACTATTTGTTCGCTAAGAAATGTTGTCCCACGGTAGCGGTACGCACGAACCTGGGATATCACAATGCTGATAGCCTCACAACTATGGACAATAATGTATTAATTCACATGTTCCTTGTTTCTCAATTTTAGATCAAATAAATTATGCAACCCAGGAGTCGCTAACAATTATTACCTTTCTCTTATCATTGACTACACCTCCATCCATCGCGCTTACCTTCCAATCCCTGTGGGTGATGCCATTTTCATGTAAGTGCTAAAAATACGAAACAGTATGAATAAAGTTAGTTTAGTTCAGGCTCCTGTAGTAACACTGGATCAATAACAGATGATCCTTAGCTTGGTATCATTAAAAGCGCCAATCTCTTCCTGACATTTTCCATAAACTTTAGTCATCGCATGTGAATAAAATATTCCAGCTTGTTTCATTCATTCTTCGAAGTTTACACATGGCTAGGCTCTCACTACACGACATCCTCACCTGAAGGCACATTGCTTTTATAGTTGGTTTAGTTGTCAACAGGAATCTGTGGTACAGATCGTTATTAAACAACTCGAGCCTGAAAACAAAATAGAAAAGTCGATCGATTCGTGAATTGTTTCATCCATGATTCTATACTTCTACTACATACTGCAGGAAAAATAACATTGTGTGAACTGTGCAGCAATATAGAGAATACGACGCTGAGGTATATTATATATTAGGTATCTGGAATCTTTTTTATGCAGCGGGAAGCAAGACAGTAGTTTGAATATTTTTAAATCCTGATAGATAAATGTCGTGGACTCACACATTTGTTATCGGCGTCTCCCGGTCGTTTTGTTCCAACAAGACTCTCAAATAATAGTCGCCTGATAAAAGAGATACGTTACTGAGTTTGATTGCTGTCGAGGGATAGGGGGGGAGACGCTTTAAGAAGAACTGTTAAAAAGCTAGAGCAGTATAAGGATTATTACTAACCTATTTTCAGTTGATCAGCTAAACATTCATACAGGACTTCAAACTAAAGGTGATTCCAAAAAACAACGTAGTTTCCACTCAGATCTTTTTCCATTGCAATTGCGCGCATCTCAGATTCGAGAGCCCCAGAAGTTCCTCTCGCGTCTGTCACATTGAAAACAAAAGAAATTGTTTCAAACTCTTTTACGAGAACAGTTTAGAGAAAGAAGTCAGGACTATTGAATTTGTCTTGTTATACTCATAGCAACAGGAAATCCTCTATTACATTTTCATTTCCTATATTTTCAACGGAAACTAACCTTAACTTCGAGACTCACCTTGTAATCCAAAATCAGGTTGTACGCTGTCAGATCTTGACTTAATCTGTAAAAAAGATCGGTTTAAATACCATTGCTTTTTCATCTTTTAAACGACTAGAACATTTTCCCATTTTCTTAATATGAACACTTACTTGTAATAAAACAACTGGATTTAAATTCTCACATCTTTCTTGGATTTGAATCCTATTTTTGTCCTCCTATGCGAGAGATATCCTTCAAGTTGATTCCTTGACGTTCCTCTCGCTTTTCCAGAGCTATAACAGACAAGTATAGCACTTGAAATAACAGGCTTATACGTACATACAAGCATGCATGATGAACTTTTGGAACACGATTGTTGCTTTAAAACGTACTTCTGCAAGATTTACATTGTCACGAATTGATAAATGATCTTCTTTAGTCTCTGGTGGTTGAAGGAAAGATAAAAACTTTCAAACAAAATTGTTTCTTTACAAAAAGGTTTTACACTTCTGAATGAATTACCATTTAATTATTTCGTCAGTGGGGCAGTTGGCATAGTTTAAGGATGAATGATGGAGTTTAGTTACCAAAGCAGTTGATACCATTTAGTCACTATTATGATTGGTTAGTCAGAATCACTGCAATGGGTTAATGTAAATAATGGCCCTCGCAAAAAAATTCTCATTCAAATTTATTACATAATTGTTTAGGAACAGGAAATCTCGCATTTAAACTTTCTTGTATATTTTAGACATTAAAAACTATAACTACTTTAATACGAAAATTATTCTCACAAGCAATGCCATTGCTGTTATATGATCAGTTGTCCAGAGAGCCACAAGATGTCCACTCAATTGCCTGTATGCCAACAATAAAGATTATAAATTACTTGTGGAGTATGCTTGTTAGTCTCAATTGAACTATTTACAGATGGCTAGTATATAGAGGATTATAAAATCACAAGTTTTAAGATGAATCTAAGAATGTTGCTAAAAATAATTCAGGTCCTCCGGATGGAATCGAGGCCATGCATCTGCAACAATTTGTTAATTTATCACTCTAATTCGCACATGTTCAGTAGCGAACGTGTATCAGTGCTTTGTGTAATCATGGTCATGGGTAAGCGTTTTGGTAGAGCGCCCTCGGCAAGCGCCAGATCTTGTATTTTTGCCGCAGTTTCTTCATCAGCTTCCTAAAGTGTAGTTCTAAATAAATATCAACAGATGATTTTAGGCACTTCACACGATGCAGGAATATTATAGAGGTTTTAAAGGGTCTTAATTTCGAGTGGTATTATACACACTTCAAATTCAAGCCAGGAACAGTTGATGGAAAAATGAGTCAACTATATACGTTCTCAGTGATAAGAGCATTGCACCGGCATCGCAAAAGCGATTCCTGCCGGAGGATCTATAGTTGACTCATTTTTCCATCAACTGTTCCTGGCTTGAATTGAAGTGTGTATAATACCTCTCAAAATTAAGACCCTTTAAAACCTCTTAAATATCAAATGAACTAATATGTACATTCATCACAGCTAAAAAAGGGCAGAGCATTATAAATGACGTTCGTCAAAAGCAGAAAATTCTGAATGGATGAATGAATGAATAAAACGTACCTCGATTATCGCCTTCAGAACCATGCCAGCACCTTTCACAATTGTTTTCGACGGATGCTGAAATTGTTAAGGAACGAATTTGAAACCACGATTGGTAAGAACAATTAGCGGGGCAATAGTAAAACATACATAAGCGAAGAAATGGTAAAATTGGTACTATTTATTGCAGTTTTATCGTAAACCTACCTGGAACAATCGAGAAATGCAATGACCCATTTCTGGACAAACAAATAACAGACTTCATGAGTTGCTCCCATGCATGGGTCAAGCTAGTGGACGTGGTAAAATTCACCAAAAAAGGTAAAGAGAGAAAGGCTATTTAATCAACTAACGCGTTCCAAACTATTTTCAATAATTCCAAACTATTTTTTTTTCCGCAAAATTGATGAAAAAAACCAAAAAATGCAAAGATTTTAATTTATGAAATCAAATTGGCGTTTTTTGCAGACAGTTTTTAGGGACTCTGCCAAAAACAACGTATTGAACTAAACGAGACATCATTCTATCAACTGCGACCTGAGATAAATAAGGTATCTGAATTTCAGACACCTAAAACAAATCTGAGTTTGCCAACATCTTATATATTACCGACAAATGATAAATGGGGAAGCTGAATTTCAGACATCTAAAACGGCTCTAATCTGCCAAGATCGTGTATATTAACCGACCTGAGATAAATAGGGTGTCTGAATTTCAGACACCTAAAACGGTTGAGTCTGCCAAAATTCAAAATATTTTAATGTTAACCACAAGCGATAAATTTGGAAGCTGAATTTCAGACACCTAAAACGGTTTGAGTCTGCTAAAATCGCATATCTTAACCGACCTGAGATAAACAAGGTATTTGAATTTCAGACACCTAAAACGGTTTGAGTCTGCCAAAATTCAAAATATTTTAATGTTAACCGACAAGCGATAAATTTGGAAGCTGAATTTCAGACACCTAAAACGGTTTGAGTCTGCTAAAATCGCATATTTTAACCGACCTGAGATAAACAAGGTATCTGAATTTCAGACACCTAAAACGGTTTGAGTCTGCCAAAATCTTATATATTAACCAACCTGAGATAAATTAAGGTATCTGAATTTCAGACACCTAAACGGTTTGAGTCTGCCAAAATCGTATATTTTAACCGACCTGAGATGAATAAGGTATCTGAATTTCAGACACCTAAACGGTTTGAGTCTGCCAAAATCGTATATTTTAACCGACCTGAGATGAATAAGGTATCTGAATTTGAGACACCTAAAATGGTTTCAGCCTGCCAAAAAAAAATCTTATGTTAACCGACAAGCGATAAACTGAGAAGCTAAATTTCAGACGCCATAAACGGCGTGAGTTTGTCACAAATCTGATATAAACAATTAAATGAACCGAGATTAAAGGCTGAATTTCAGTTTGTACTGTCACCGATCGTGTACTGAAATAAAAAGCACTTTTTCAGAGTGTAGCCCAATTTCAGAAAAATATTGGTTTGACTGTTTGTTTAAATCATATGTGCATAATTCATAAATCAAACACATCTAAGCAGAGATGAGATTTTAGAGCCAAATTTTAGTCCGCGATCAACGTTTTATGGGTTTTCAACAGCGGACACCTAAAACGGCTTGATTCTGTCAAAATCTTATTTATCAACCGACAATGCATGCAGCGAAACCGACCAGTGAAAAATTGGGCAGCTGAATTCCAGAACCTAAAGCGACTTGACTGAGTCTGCCAAAATTTAGTTTACCTGCAGACCTTCACATCACAACCAAAATACTAAAGTCAAATGCAAAGAATCATGTATATAGAATTATATAATTAGTTTTTCAAATCACAAAATTTTGCGCAATACGTTTTTGCCTCTTCTTCATTTGGTGTTAAGCATAAAACATTCCTGCCTTCCTTCATGGCTGCAGCAGCTCCAGCAACTGAAACAGTCATAAAAATAGATCAATTTAGTTGGAATGTTATACTGCATAACATTTAATTATGTTTTTTACGGGAAACTACTTTAAAATATACTGCGCGAATAGGTGAATAAACTGAAGGAAGAAAGCTAGTGATCCAATGATAGTGTAAAGTTGCATAGTGGGACACAGCGAATCAACCTTATCATTTTAGCTCCCATATTGAAAGGTTTCAATTTTGCATTAACAAGAAAGTTTCTCGAAATTTTTGTCAACTTGACAAAAAGCCTAATTAACATTTAAATAAGACAAAAGAAATTGTCTAAATAAAGTTCAAAGCGCTGAGATAGTTGAATAAACCACTACGAACAGAAATGACCTTCACCACTGACTAGATGATTGACTATGTCCTTTGAATCCGCCACCCATCAGAACAGTGTAAAGTGAAACTTCACAGTAAAAGCGGTTAAGTTAAATTATTTTTTTGTATCAACGATTAACAACACGATTGCACCTGTTGTTTCCAGATAATTCATTGTAACTAGTCGGCAGCAACAATGTGAACAGTGCATAAAAAAATTATTAGTATTTCATCAGTACTGGTATAATTGCATACCTTGTGGCGTATTCACGTCAAGAATCCAATCGCCTGGTCTACTGAACATTTCAACTACAGAATGCCACACCTCCAACTCCTTGTGCTCTTGACTTACAATAATAAAATTCTCAGTGCAGGCAGTGAAATTAAAATGATCTTGCAGCAGCCGTTGCCCAGGCGCCGCATGGTAGAGGAGAAACCCCTCTACAGCCCGTACCATACCAAGGCTAGGACCTGTAAAATGCAGGAACAATGCGTAAGTTAATTTTGTTGTATGCATTGCAAAATACGGTTACAGTTTACAGTAGGTATGCTTTTATGCGTGTAAATTTGACGTATTTTCGAGTGTACGTGAATTTGAACTTCTAATTTTACAGTTGAATGGCAGAAATAACAAACGCAGACAAGTTTAACTAAATTTTTTACAAAAATAAAATATAAAAACATTGCATCGCAAGAACCTCTAGAAAATACCAGGATGCTGTTTTAACAAAATAATCTATGATGAGCAGAAACCCAAAAGGTGGATTAAACAAAGTGATTAAGGACCTTACGATTGACAATTACACCAGACATGCGGCTAGCTGCAATCGACAAACTATTGAAGATAGTATTTTGGGGCCAATTATTAGATGATAGAGCTTCCGGCAGTTTGCGAATTAAAATTGAGGCATAAATTCTCTACGACAGACACGGTTAATCCTTTGCCGTAAACGTGAACATTAAAATCTTACTATTTTAAACATGAATACATTGCCCGTTAATATGCTAATATATACCTGATGGTTTAACTCCTTTAGCACATGCGAAACCAAGTTCGCAGATTCCACGGTGTTCCTCGATCCATTTTTTATTTCCATTAATTGATGGATATCCCCCATTATTGCTACGTTGAAAATGTGGCACACACCAAAATTTAAACGGTCCACTAGGTCCAGCAAACCTGCAGCAAATGTTGTCACATCATTTTCATAAAAAAATCATTGTGAAAAAGAAAGTATTGTTCAGTATACACCTTTTTCACAATTATCACAGTTGTACATATACAGTACTATTGGTGCATTAGGTCAATGTTATATCACTATACTGTACCTGATGTGGTGAAAGCTTACATAAGGCTAATGAAAATCCTTTTTCTTGCCCGTATGACCCCTTGCTGCAGTCCCAGTGGGTCAACACACATGTGGACAACGCCGCTTGTTCCCTGGTCCATCAGAAATACATTGGGTGATACAACTAGTGGCTGGTCTGATTCCTCGATGGTCAGACTCTTTTGCAGATATTCCAAGTTTTGTCTGAAAATAAGGTTGGTTTCATCTTTTCCCTAGTAAATAGAAACACAGCTCTACTGAATGTGCGAAACACAGGAAAATGTTTGCAGACTAAAATGGTCATCAAATAGGTAGCAGAATTGAAAATTGAAATCTCCCAAGGAACATGTAGCAGGGCTGATTTAATGTTTATTTTTAAGCTACTAGTAGTTTGAAATGTTTCTAGTAGTTTGAATTATTAATTTAGAAGTCAGTTCAAATACTCAACCTCAGCATAGAGAGAAGAGCGGATATTTTCCATTCTACAAACCTGGATCAAAATATCGAACTGCCTGATATAATACATATACTGTATACTTACTGTAAATTTCCTTAACTGGTCAACGCTGACTTTCTCTCCCAATTTTGCACTAAGCAATTCCCATTTACATCCAAGAAATGAAGAAATCACTTTTTGGACAGGCTTCAGTACTTTGCACTCCTTGCACACTAATTTCAGTTCATCCAGACTGTTACTTTGGTCAGCAACCTAAAAAAAACAACAGATTTAGAATGATGATTGGATTTAATTTAAAGGGCACAATTATATTTTAATAAACTAAGTGGTTAATTAGTAAATAAATTTTTAACAGATCACAGAGGCAAAAAAATAAGCTAAGGGGTATCTTACGCCTAAAAATGGAAGAAATATCTTTACTTGACCCAACAGAGCAACACGATCTGAAACGTCGAGGCCAAATAAGCATTTGATGTATGATGGCTTGAACCTCGGCTTTTCTGGTAGGTCCTTTGCCATTGCTCGCTGGTATTTAGGAAGACCTTTTTCATATTTTCGGCACATCTCAAGGAATGACTGATAACCATCTTCTGGGAGAGCAGCAACAAGAAATACATCAGAAAGATTTTTCTTCTAAAAAAGTACAACATTTAACAAGAATATTAATTACTCAGTGTAAGTGCTTTATTGATCAGCAAGTTAATTTAAAATTATTTCATTAAACAGGTTTAGGTTTAGTACAGATTATAATTACATCTACTTTCTTTTGATAACCCATTCACTGGTGGCAAGACTTTCACTGGCAAGCAAAATCACCTGGTGTTCACAATATATTACAAATTGAATAAACTAAAAAGTTTACTCACTGTCTTTCCTAATATGTGGGAACATCTGTCTCTCCATTGCTGACTAGGAACTAAATCATTGTTCTCATTTTTTTACCAATGATCTCCAACTGCCTGTGAGCAACTTCCACCTACAGCAGAATAAAAAAATGTTTGTGATCACAGCTTTTTTAACCCACTGACTGGTAAATCACCCAAATGATTGCTGCTGCAATTAATAATTTGTTAGTTTCTACTGCAATTGCCTGTGGCAGATTACTACTAATTATTATCGTAAGTAACTCAGACCACTATAACCAATAATTTACCATTGACAATTTTGGTATGTACTTGAGAAAAATTTCTGGTATTTGACAAAGCAAAGTTGAAAAAGTTAAGAAGTTGGGTACTCATTACTACTGTGACACTAATGGGTTCCTTAAGTAACTTGTTGACTGACTGTTAAACTATAACAAACAACCACTCCCTCTTAATATTTAACAATATTAGAATTGCCTTTCTACAGAACTTGCCTCATCTTTGAATGTCATTTAATGACGGAAACACCCAGTCTTATTATGCCTTGACGCCAGCCATAAAGCTTAAAAATTTGTTAACCCAACAAATATTCTTGCATATCTTCCCTTATACTCTTCACTATCAGGGTGCTTCTCTAAAAGTTGCTTTGTTGCCAACAAGTTATGCGTACCACCAAGTACCTCATACTGATAGCTGCTGACATCTGATTTTGAAAAGTTCTCCTTTCTGTTCAGACCTTTTACCAACAAGTAAAGAGGTTCATATGAGCCATTGGGGTTACTTTCCATATTTGCCTTTAATTGGGCCAAAAATATTTCATCCACTTTCCTGATCATTCTGTCTGCTGGAGGTAGTTCAATATTGCCAACCGGAACATAGAATTGCTCATCTATTCAAAGTTATGAAAAGACATGCATGATATTACTGCCAAATGAAGGTGCACTTATACAACTTGAGTAAGCTAGAATGGTAAAAAGGAAACCATTGGGCAAAAAAAGCTGGTCATATTGAAAGAAGTAATTGTGTAGCAGGGATTTTAATTAAGAAAATGACTTGATAATTAAGCCTTAATTTAAACTTGATAATTTCTGTAAAAAATTAATTAACATTCATTGTGGTTTAGTGGTTCAACAAAAAATATCATATGTATATATTTAATTTCTACATACCAACTTCGCATTCTTTTGCTCTTGTTTGGTATTGTAATTCTTTGGCCTCTTCATCTTGACACTTTTTCTTGGTTAGGGGAGTACTCAGCTGTTCCACAAGAGATGAAGATCCCATTTTTAAATTTATAGCTTAATCTTCATTAGTGATTAAAACAGGCTCGGAATCCTTGGATCCACCTTGATTTTGTTGATCTTGACCATCATTAGCGCAATCTTGCTTTTCTAACTTTTCAATGGCTTCATTGCATTTTGCAGCCCATTGTTGCTCATTTTCAGTCGCAACAATTTCACGGAAAAGCCCATTGCTTGCTGACCAGTCATATTTCCCTGTGGAGAAGAAACAGTGTTCTCTTTTGCCATCTGCCCCTCGAACGAAAATCAACTATAAAATATGAATAAAATATAATTTTTACATAGAATCAATCAAAATACAGTATTAATATATGTACGGATAGCTGGCATCATTATTTGAAGCATCTAATAGGTGAAACTATCATCCATAACGCGCTCATTCATTGTGTAGTGCCTAGTTTATAACACACTAGCAATATTTTGTGTAAAAATTTTACAGGGACAAATGCTAGGACTAAGTTTCCAACCCTTGGACCAAGGGTTTTAAATTAATTTTAAAAAAGCTGACTTTGTGTTTGACACTGAATCATTTTCCTAAAACTTTAATCACTAATCTTTCACGACGTAGAATTTACGCATGTAAAATTCCAACTAACCGAAAGCTATTTGTGTTATTTTAAGGCTTAAATGTAGAAATGGATATTTGTTTATCCATAGGCGGCCCAGAACTGATCTCGCTGACCTCGCGCGATGACGTATCTTGTCATAATATAAGACTGTTCAGACAACATGAGGTCGCACGAGGTCAGCGAGATTACCGAGATCAGTTCAGGGCCGCCTATGGTTTATCATGTTGTGTTTGTTCGGGGGGGTCCCACGCATCATACGTAGATCACGGCCCAAATCACCGTTTCACCGCCATATCATTCATTTTTTAATCTATGGCCCTATCTTATATACGCCCTGATCAATTAAAGGCATGCCAGTCATGCACTTATAGTCTCAAACTCGAATCATTATCGCCCCGTCGTAAAATAGGTGGTTTCTGAGGGCCGAGGCGCCATTCCTTGTTTTAGAAAAGCTAGCACGAGCATTATCATAGACTGTCAGAATTCTATCATTTATACTTTGCAACCTCAAGATAGAAATCTGCTAAACATTGTAAAACTATAAAACTTTATTTCAGTCAGACTGCTCAATATGGAGTTTTATAAACTATAACAGTCCATTATTACTAAACCTTGGCTTTAGCCATATTAATTTTGATGGGTGTATACTTCATAATGAAATTTAAATTTCATGCGATTATGTTACGGCGTGCGTTTTGGTATATGACTTGTGAACGCTAAACGAAAGCTAAGTGAACCTCGGTAGGAGATTTTACTTGTAGTTAAACTATATCAGATATTGAATGTATCAGATTTTTTCAAGGCAATGACACCCCAGAAAGCGCAGTTAGGCGCTGGACTATAGTGAGTGGGGGAAGAGTATTTTAAAAATCGCTTTACTGTATTTTTATACAACTAGTGCCAATATGGTTATTAATTCGTTACAACAAACATATAAAACTAGGACTCAAAAGGTCGCTGGTGCACGCAGCATCTCATTTCAGCAGGTAGAGACCAATACCACAGTATATAATACCAAATATATTTACCCTTTATACCCTTTAATATATAATTTATCTTTATATTAATCACAGTGGAAAAATTAAAAATCATACCTTTACAGCCACGCGATTCTTAAATTTTCCCACTTCAGCGCGCAGAACATGCAAATATTCTACACTATTTTTGGAATGCCGAATACCGTTGACAAACACGTACGCTTTGTCCTCATTTACTCGAATTGACCATTTGAAAGAAGGCATTTTTTAAAATACTGTTTGTTGACTGCTGAATAAACCTTGCTGAACAAAACTGCTGGTGTCTTTGGCAGAGGAGATAGAGTATATTTTGGCAAGGTTTTCTAGCGTCATACAAGGTGATAGCGTCATACAAGGTGATAGCGTCATACAAGGTGATAGCGTCTTCGCGGCTCAACGAATCAGCGTTCGAGAACACAAAGCCGTAGGTAACTGAGGAATTTTTCATTGTTAAAAGGTTCAAAACTCAACCAATCAAAAACGTTTTAATAATTAGCGACAAAAATCATAATAACGGAAAACATTTAAAAACTTAGAAGGGTGTAAACTGATCTTAGTGAAAACCGGCTGCTTCCTAACTTCGTAACTAAACTTGTCAGAAATATTTTGAAGAATGCGGTAAAAGACCAAAACGCATAATTGTATAGTTATGTCGTCGCCTTGCGGGTTTGGATTTTCATCCTTGCCAGAACCGGCGTCGCCGTCCACTATTGAAACTCTTCGAGAGAGAGAAATAGAAGGCAGTTCGCCTATCGGTATTGGATTCAGCAGTGACCATGAGAACACGAGGAGTCCGCAAAGTTGTAAGAGATCACAAATAAGCAATCTGTATACTTGAATATAGTACATGAACTATAGTCTATATCTACACAATTTTATGATGATATTTAGTGACGAGCTCTCCTGGGGATTGTACGACTCCTGTTCACTCACAGTTATCTAGCCTGTACTCTTCGCCTGTTGGAATTGGATTTAGCAGCAGTGACAACGAAAACGCACTAAGTCCGCTAAACGGTATGATATGTTACATTTCTACGTGTCTAAATAGATTGAGATTAGAAATATATATTCACCTGTATTTGGACAAGCGTTGTAATAATTTATTTTGTTCTCCATTTTCTGCTAGTCGCCAACACTCCTCGTATTTTTGACTTCTCCACTGTCTCTGCGATCCTACTCAACACTCGAAGGAAACTCATCGCCTGCTAGCCCATCACCAGACAACAGCCCTTCTAAATGTAAGAAAATATTTGAAATTTTATTTTTAATTTTAACTATACCTAAAATTTCATAATAGATATAATAACTGTATTTTAGTTGAAATTATAAATAAAGTGCGGCGCAAAAAAGGGCAAGTTACGTCTCTTAGGTTTCAATAAGACTTGACGCAATGATAAGACTTGCCGTTTAGTCTTTTGTGGCGAGTTGAAATATGAAATTTGGAGTATGCGACATCGATTAGCAACTAACCAATTTTCGATAGACTCGTGACTTGTGTTTTTAGCATACCACTATAAATAAATTATTAATAAATAGCAGTAAATTATTCAATGAAATGCTACGAACACCAAACTTTGACAAGTGGTATATAATAATACAATTTGTCGACCGTCGGCCTTGCATGCGCTTCCAAGTTTTAACTAGCGTCGCGCGCATATACAAACAAGAAAACAATAAAATAATTATGAGAAACATCCTTAAACTTTCAGCTATAGCCTGATTCGAAGTCTATAATAAATTTGCGGCATTTAATCAACAGTGTCAATGATTTTACATTTAGCCCAATCGCCTGTTAAACGTAGGAGAATGCTCCATTGTGACACCCCGTCTACATGCGCACAAGAAAGCAGCGGACAACGAAAAACAAAGCGAAGTTTAAACTACGAGGGTGATTCTGAAGGTAAGAACCATTTTAGACTTTAGTTGTTACTTGTTCACTATTAAATTTAAAGCAATTCCGTGCTTTGGAAACAAAAATGCATGCATGCGCACCTACAGTTTTAAGGCATATTGCTGTATTCATATTTCAGTATCTGATGACAATGAATGTTGGTTTGAACGAAAAGTAGTTTTTGTTGATGTTCTGAAAAACTGTTCGGAATACGACCGGCTCGTAAATTTGCTAAACTATCACCAAGCACACGTTGAGACATTCCTGTCAAACAGAGTTACCCATCATAACAGCAAAAAAATATTCTGCCTGCAGCAAAGAAGTAATGCTTAAAAATGTGCAATACAGCCGTGGAAAGAAAATGGTGCAATTGGCAATCATAACCACACCACAAAAAAATAGTTGGAAATCCACGCAACCAGTGCTTACCCTAAACGATTTGATAAAATTTTCCGTGAATTGTAACAAACACATCGGCAATCGGAAGAACAGTGGTAATAAAAAGGTAGAATTTCACTAGTAATAACAGTGACAAAAAAATTGACAACCGCAGGAATGCAACTGTATGGGAATTGCGGGGTAAATAAAAGGTTGAAGATGCAACTGGAAAGTATAGACCGCTTGTGGTTGAAATGAAAGACTGGCCGGAACTGGACTTTAACTGTCACAACACTCCCTTTGCTTGTCCAAAAGTTTTAAAAGCAATTTCAACTCATCCGAGTGTAAAACGAAAACTGTGCGAGCTGTGTAACATTAATTATAATACTAGTGAAAAACATCATCTTAATGGATCAATACATCAAAAGAACGCGCATGATAATAAGTTGTTTCAATTGCTCGATAAAGCGATACAAAAAGGATCATTCTTGTTCAAAAATAAATAAGTTTAAACTTACGACTTAAATATTCTCAAATTTAACTGTCAATGTCTTAAACTTCTTATAAAGGAACAAACAAGAAAAACAAACAAATAGTCTTGGAATCATCGAGTCTGACTGCTGTGATCTTGACTGCTTAAAAATTGTGCCATTTAAAGATATCGACAGTGTTAGACGTGAATTTATCTCACTTGAAAGTATAGTCGATGAAAGAAATTATATTCTCAATTATCTAAAAGATAACACGTCAACCACTCACGACGCAGAAAAAGGGAAAACAACTGTGTTCAGAATAAAAGGAACACAAGTCTGTAAGCAAGCTTGGATAAAAGTCCATGACATAAAGCTACAAAGATTCCAGAAGATATATCTTGATTTTAAAAATGGTTCAGAAGTGTACGTCCATGGAAACAGTGGATTCAAAAGGCCCACAACAAAGACGGCAGAATGTATAGCATGGCTGAGATTTCTGGTTAACTCAATTAGTGACCAACAACCAGATAGTGGAAAAGTTCATTTACCATCCTGCTTTACAAAATTGGCTTTGTACCAGAAAATGTTAAGTGACCTGGATTCTGAAGATACCATCAGTAGGTCACAATTTTATAGCATCATGGAGAAAGAATTTAAACATGTCTCAATACCAAAGGTAACAATTACATTATGGTCATAATATACAGATTTTAAATGGGCACTGTAATTTTCACCACTAAAACCATGAAACCGCGCCTGATAGCGGGCTATGTGTGAGTATACTGGACATTGCAAAGTTTTACGTAATCTTACCAACCATAAAACATGTTCAACATGTGAGCTAACCTTAAAGCTACTGTATCCCCACACCACTAGCAAAATATGTATTTTTTCAATAAAATTTTCATTTGGCAAATAAATTTTCATTTGGCAAATAAATTTTCATTTGGCAAAATTTTCAAATTGGTATTAGACATGTCAGTTGGTGGTAATAAATATACCAAATATTGTTTTATTGCAGGAAAACCGGTTTACCAAATGTGACCACTGCACAAATTATAAAAAGCAACTAGAGGCAACAATGAATAAAGCTAAAAGAAAGGCCATTCAAGAACTTCTGGATGAACACATTGAACGTGTTATATAAGTAAACAGAATAATGAGAGTAAAATTTCTACAAATATTATTTGTTTGTCTACAGATTATTTTGCCTGCGTTTTGGGTTTTTGTCCAGCACCTGCGTGATTATAGTGTGGTATTAGCTAACAGGGCATTCTTAACCTCTCTGTTGATAGCCAGTATATATCCTGTATAAACAATTCAATAATAATTCTTACCAGGAATGAACGAAGAAAATATCATCTTCATCAGTACAAAGCACGGCGGAGTCCTTCAAAGTATCTAACAATCATATTGGATGGTATGGATCAATCCAAAACTGATGTACCAAATCTTCGAAGAGTCTGCAAATCAACTGCAAACCTGCAAAAGTTGAGAACACATCTTGTTGGAACTATAATGCATAGTGGGTTGTGTCCCATGGGAAAATTATTCCATGGTATGTTTGACCTTTTTCAATGGAAACATGACAGCAATCTAACAATGAACATTCTCATCAAACTTCTTGCACTGTTCAATGATCGCTATGGTTTACCACACATACTTAATCTCCAACTGGACAACTGCTGGCGTGAAAACAAAAACAAATATGTTTTAACTTTACTATCTCTTTTGGTGGAATGGTCGGTGTTTGACAAGGTATAGTTAAAATACGAATATGAGATACCTTTAAAACAAAGCCAGACAATTTAGTCACAGCCACAAAGGGTTTACTGTAGGTGGGCCCATCTATATGTTTTTTGAAGTTTTGCCTGGTGCTGTAATGAGTGATTGATAGTCTAGTGGGTTCAAAATAACAATATATTTATTATTGCAGCTAAAAATGTATGTGAAGCTTAGAAAATAGCTTGAGCTAATGATCAAGTAAGATCATGTGTGCTTTTTTGTACTTGTACTAATAATGTACAAGTTTTTCAAAGGAGTAATTTTTCACAACAGGAATCTCAATTATGTTTCATACAGTATATATACAAGTTAAAGTAATATTGCATGTAACCTTTAATTTTTCAGATAAAGGGCAACTTTCTACCAGTTGGCCATACGCATGAAGATATTGATGCATTATTTGGCTGTTTTTCAAAGCATCTTAAATTTCTTGATGTATATACAGTAAATGGTAAGTCTTAACAGACAAGTACTTACATAAAATCATCTGACAGAGTAAATCCTTGGGTGTATATATATTGTTCACATGTTAAAATGGAAAGGCATATACACTGTATATGTTCAACATGGATTTGACTGCATGTGTGACCATGCACCCTCTGTCTGATACTGTACACAAACAATTACCATACAATTAGATTTTGTTCTATTCTGCTGACATACAGTGTGACAAAATAATAGAGATAAGCTGATTACCAAAATTGATTGATTACCAAAATTGCCCTTTACAATGTAAAAAATTATTTTATATTTGAGTAATTTAAGATCATTGTTTTTAAGCATGGTTAAATTAAAAAACTATTGAATTCGGGCTTATGCATGTGTTGCTTTTTGTTTGTGAATCATCAGCTTACAGTGCATACATTGATTTTTTGCACCAATAAATAAAGCAATCAGCCAACAGATAAATATTAACAAGCCATTAATTGTCTTTTTCTGAATATTTTCTTTTTCTTTTTTTTAGATATAAGAAAAGCATTTGAAGAATGCTGTAACAAGCCATACCCAGAATCTGACTGTTTATCATGCATTTATGATTTCAAGAAGTGGTTGGATGGTCACAGTGAGGACTTACACAATCATGTCAAGCCACACTGCTTTAAATTTGTGAGAAATGAAAAAAACAAAGCCGTAATGTATTACAGAAAGTGGAGTGATGATGAATGGATGGGTCCTATTTCTTTATTAAAGGTACCAGTATTCTAAAATTTCTCCCAAAGTACCACAACTATCACAAAGTACTCAAAATTGCTTCAAGGCACTATAAGTTATTGTTTTATTTCATTTTATAAATAGTCAACTCCTATGGACATGCCAGTCCAAATACCAGCAGATTTTGCAAAGGCAGACTTACCTAAGCTTGCAGTTGACATGCAAAAATGGTTTTCTGTAATGACCTCAACAGCACAAGGATGGTGGGAATCATTTTTGCAGACAACAGGCAACAATGATGCTACAATTGATAATACGTTTCCAATATTTTCACTGAAAAATCATGTTAGAAGACCAAATGCTGAACCTGTTGAGACAGCTGAAATACCAGCACAGCTATCTGCTTTGAGAGAGAAGGAGCTAGAACAACTAGAAGAGGTAAACAAAAATATTTTAATGGGATTGGATTGATACATTTGTGAAGCATTAACTAATAAGCTTTTATAACAACATAAAAAGTTTTAGCACTGAAATGGCAACTCCTATAGTATGAGCATGCTGATCAATGGAACCCTAATCTTATGCAGTTGGCATAGCAAATATACAAATTATTCTATATTTTACATTTATTTTCCTAGATATATACTGGCTCATATCAAGCTCCAGCTTCCCGGGGCATAAATATGGATGATAATTACTTGGCTGCTTTGAAACCTGATGTGTTTGTGGCAGTAAATATATCCAACTACAAAAAAAGGCCAGTCATTGGGAAAGTAACGGAGGTTGGAAATGATGAATTTTGTTTACAATACTGGAAGGGAAATTATAGCACTGCTTGGGAACCCCACATTGTGAATAGTAAAGATGGGCTAACACCATAGGTGGATACCATTCCCAAAGCGGCTATTATAATATGTGCGTTCGAACTTGATGACAAAAATCATTTGCTGGAAAACACCAGAAAATTTATTAAAAAATGGTACAGAGATCACAAAAAAAAGCCTAACCATTAGAGGGAAAAGGAACTATACTGTGCCCCAATATTTTTTATATGAGAACCTTATGAAGTACCAAAATGTATTTGTGAGAAACATTTGTATATTTAACCATTCTTAATACCAAATTTACACTAAAACAATTAGTCGCCACAGCTCATATCTACTTTGCCTTCTGCTCAGTGGATATGGGCTTGTAAACACCTTGCCTTCAGGCTTCAACAACTAATAGACCTATATGGATTTAATACGATGTCAATTATTTCTGTATGAACACAAAGAGCAGCATTCCCTGAGAGAATTGCAATATGTGTTATTATAATTCTTGCAGGAAATTCTGGTATTTGTGAAGCATTTGATGTCCTAATGCATAAGGAGTATTGTTATTGTGTATTAATGAGCATTAGAAATTGCCATGATTCGATTTTTAACCTAAACAAAATATAGTGTTGCAACACTTGCGTATACAGTATTTACTCGGTTTATTTATTGTCATCAACACGCTTTTTTGGGCTGCCCTATGATCTTATAAATCAATAAATGTTATTTTATATGCAGAAGACTCGTGCTCACTTACCGGTATTTGATGCATATGGCTGTACTGATTCACCTATCAGATCTTGATAATTTCAGTATAGGACTACCTTCTAAGCTTCGAGTTGGCGAAACCAAAGAAACATTCAGTAATATTTAAAAAAAACCCTTTATTTGTAAAACTTTGTTTGCCTTCTTCGCCATACATGTTTTTGAAATACACAAAACACAATTCAAACACGTATTAATTTTGTGGCCTGGATCTCTGAATATATTAGATCTGATCTAAATATATTAGATCTGATGAACTGATGTGGATATATTTAGTTGCAATTTTTACTATAAATTTGTTTCAATCCGACCCTGTCTGTTGTGTGTTTATCATGTAATATCAGTGTGTTGTAGTTTAGGTAAGCAGGGATTTTATTCTTTATGTGCGTGGACTGTGGAGCAAAAGAGCAAGTGGTGTACTGAATGCATGTGATGTAAGTTTTAATACATTGTGCACTACTGAATTTTTCAAATATTATACAATAAATATATAACAATTTACTATAGCACTGCTTTGTGGAAACACACTTTTGCAAATTGTTGAGGTTTTTAGGTAGTCTTTTTTTTAATAATTATTCCAATATAAAATAGTTGTTTAAGATTTGTTGACTCTCCTATTACTAATCAATTTCCTATTACTATATGATTCCATTTGGAACAAGATGTAAATGCCTGAAATTTAGGGTTCCTTTTTGTATTAATCATGTTGCCTTTTTGTTATAATTTTTTACTTTGTTGCAAACAAATAGGTGTCCAAAATTTGGAGTCCACTTTGGCAACCATTCTGCCCTTTTCATACAATTGCCTTATTGTAAACAAAATGGTTGTCTGAAATTCGGAGTCCATTTTTGTCATCATTTTGCCATTTTTTCATAATTATTTACTTCATTGCAAACAAAATGGGTGTCCGAAATTCGGAGTCCATTTTGATAATCATTCTGCCATTTTGTTATAAATGTCCCATTGCATTAGCAAATTGGGTGTCTGGAATTCAGAGTCCATTTTTGTCATCATTTTTCCATTTTTTCATAATTATTTACTTTATTGCAAACAAAATGGGTGTCCGAAATTCGGAGTCCATTTTGATAATCATTCTGCCATTTTGTTATAAATGTCCCATTGCATTAGCAAATTGGGTGTTTGAAATTCGGAGTCCATTTTTGTCATCATTTTGCCATTTTTTCATAATTATTTACTTCATTGCAAACAAAATGGGTGTCCGAAATTCGGAGTCCATTTTGATAATCATTCTGCCATTTTGTTATAAATGTCCCATTGCATTAGCAAATTGGGTGTCTGAAATTCGGAGTCCATTTTTGTCATCATTTTTCCATTTTTCATAATTATTTACTTATTGCAAACAAAATGGGTGTCCGAAATTCGGAGTCCATTTTGATAATCATTCTGCCATTTTGTTATAAATGTCCCATTGCATTAGCAAATTGGGTGTTTGAAATTCGGAGTCCCTTTTTGTAATCATTTTGCCATGATTATTTACCTTATTGAGAACAAAATGGGTGTCCGAAATTCGGAGTCCCATTTTGTAATCATTTTGCCAATTTTTTTATAATTGCGCCTGTGCAAGTATGTGTATGCAAGTAAATGGGTGTTTGAAATTCAGAGTTGTGTTTTGTAATAATTTAACCATTTTATTTTTCCTGTTCTTTTTAAACATAGTTTTCCATTTTGAAGAAAATATAAGTTTAGAAAAGGGAAAATTAATCTTTTCTCTAAATTTTCATATTTTCATTGATTTCAAGTTGGAAATATATACAGTTTGCAAAAATCTACTAAACTACTACTAAATTAAACAGTAAATTTTCCATTCTGCAAAATTGCAAGAAAATATTTTTTCAAATTTACCTCAAAAAACCGCTTTTTCTTCTGAAATTAAAGAAAAATTATACCTATTTTATATTATGGGTTTAATTGTGCAGAAAAATTAGTCAAATTCTGCAAAATCAAGGATTTTTTTTATGGATTTGGTAGTTTGGAATTGTTGAAAATAGTTTGGAACGCGTTAACTCTGAACCTCAGTCGAAGAGCAAACGTCAGAAAATCAAGCAATCCACTTATAACTGAAACTCCAGTAGAACGATCCTAGAAGAAAAGTTTTCATGGTTAATCTATTTCTTGTGTTTAGTTAGAAAGGTAGTCCAAATTAGAAAGGCAGTTGCTACGAATCACAAGCTGGGTTTTGCAAGGGAATTTCTCTTCCAAAACATGGCTTTATACATACAAGAGGGATGGAAAAATAAAGTGCAAGGGTTCAGCATTGATTATAGGATGTTTTCATATAACATAATTATGCAGCCTAGCAATCGTTTAGTTTAAACTGTAGGCTGCTTTTCACTTACCCGTTTTTTATACGCACGTACACATACAGAGAATATTAAATGCTTTTAAATTTTTATTATTTAAGATGCATCTAGTTCAACTAATGCATACTAAATATGCAGAAAACTAAGTTCCTTCCATTTATTCACTTAGTTTTTTCGAAGGTAACATGTATAAGGATTTAAATTTTTACGTGCGTGTACGTGCGTATGAAAAACACGTAAGAGGAAAACAGCCTTATTCCAGATTTTGACAGAACATTAAAACTCAGTGAAAATACAATAATATTCTCTACACAGGATTTTGTCTACAGAAAAGTACAAAATAAGGAATTGTCAACTTACGTCTTGGGTGACTGCATGAAGTAGACCGCTGTAGGAAATATTGCAGTTAAATCTGAACACAGCTTCGGTGAAATTTCCTGCAAGGAACCAGTCATAAGACAATATAAAGACAATTGAAAGCACTCGGAAGATTAAGAATAATTATACTGCTCGGCCTGGCCAAACTAGCCTCTCTGAGTAATAGCTGTTCTTTTACTGGGAGCCAATTAAGTTCGCATAAACCTGGTGCAATATGGTCGAACTTACCAATTTTTGTAATTATCCTGCACGCAAAATTTTAGACCAACTGTAGTTTCTTGATGTTGGTGGACGATGTGTTGTAACTAGTCCCGGGATGATAAGAATTAAGGCTTCTTTATCAAGCATTTTTTGACTCGATTTATTTGGCACAGAGAATTCGTACATGCAGAGTCTAAGTTGGTGATATGCTGGTCATACGACAAATAAGAGTCTAGTGTCATTCCTAGATCTTTGGCAATAGGAACAGGGGTGATGGCTTCGTTCGGGAACTTTATAGTCATGTCTTCCGGAAGTTGTTGTAGATTTTGCCGAGTACAAATCAGCATATATTTAGTCTTTTCCGGATTAATAAGCAATTCGTTTTCAGAGCAGTGTTTAGCTACCGAAAAAAGGTCTTCCTCTATAGTTGTTGCTTTAAACGATCCGCATCAGCCACTAACGATCCGCATCAGCCATACGATCCGCTCCACATACATCTATTAATGGAATCAGTAGAATAGAATTCTGTCTCTCGATATTCTCCGGTCCGACAGGGTGGATTCGGCTTCCGTTTGGGTTCTATACGAAAAAATCTTTATTCAATCCGTTAAGGTTAGTACTATTCAGCTGTTCAGATTGATAGCACCATGTTCTATTATTAGCTCGTTGATCCTGATGGACATGACGTCTTGAATTTTTCCTTCGGACTCGAAGGGGTTCTGCTCGATTTGTAATGCGAACAGGCAGTAGCGTAGCCAGCCTGTCGATTTGTCACACTATGCTAATATTTTAGTGTTCATTGACTGTTAAAACAATAAATTTTTAAAGACATGAATAATTATAATAACTCGAAATTTACATATAATAGCGGGACAAAATCGTCAGGCTGGCTACGCCACTGCGAACAGGGATAGTATTAATATGGTCGTTGCCGGTGACCTTTTGTTGCGGTGTTTGAGATTCGTTGTTTGGACTCTTTTGATTTATAGATGTTTTGGTTGTTTCAATTATATGTAAATCGACATTGTACAGGGTGTATCAAAAAAACGCAACACTTAATATTCATGATATCCTCTTTGTTCTACAACACAAAAGACGTTTGGCCCTGGAATGCGAGAAAGCTTGTAATCATATTCTAGCGGCACAATCGTCGGTAAACAAAGTCGGGTGCGTAAACCAACGAGCAGAATTGAAAGTATCTAACGAGTAAAATGTTATTTACAATTTATTTTACAAATCGACAGTTAGCATTCAAGTTATCATGCACGACAATAAAAACTCGTTGTTCGGTTGTTAGCTGCACCATTATTAGTTTAACTGATTTGACTATTAGCAGTTGAACTGTACCATAAGAAGCCATTTTAAAATCCCAGGGGCATAAAATCTATTGAGCTTATGAACAATATGAATTTTAGAATATTAAGTGTTGCGTTTTTTTGAGAAACCCTGTAATGCTGATCGTCAACATCGCTTGTTTGATTGCAATTTTCCCCCTCATTAGGGATTAACTCAACGATAACGCTATTATTAGTGACCTTTTGTTGCAGTGTCGGAGCTTCGTTGTTAGGGCTCTTTTAATTTATAGATGATTTAGTTATATTAATTATATGCAAATCAGCATTGTGATGTTGGTCATTTGAGTCTGAATGTAGATTGTTTAATTTTTGATTGCTATTTGGGAAATCATTGTTTCCCACAATAGTCCTACGTGCGCTGCAATAATCTTCCTTGTTATCAGGGGTTTCAAGTATGACCTCGCTTATTTGTGTGGATTCTCCTGCTTCTCCAATACTTTTAATTTTTGTTGAAGGTCTTCAATTGTGACATCTCGATCATATATTGCTTTATTTTTTTTCATCTAAAATAATAGCAAATTCATTCAGCATAGATTCCAATCTATGGTTACAAGATAGATTATGGTCCCCATTGGGCGCCATAATCTTACTCACGGAATCTACTAGAAATACATGCCACTTCAAAGATTACTAGAAATACATGCATGCAGCAACACCTCGCCATTTTAAACGAAGCAAAATATTTCGTGTGCTACCTAGAATTTTCTACGCTAATATTATGAAATATTGCTAATTTTTTGCAGGGGGAGACTGCCTTAAAAAAATGTACTTGCTAAGTGGCGAATCATGACGAATCACACTTACGAAAAAATAGTATAGAGTTATTCTTTTGATATGTATTCTGTGGTTTAGAACTTGTATGGTTATTATAATTATTTGTGCTGTTTTGATGTTTTGAACCTTTAGCTACACAAAAGTTTAACACTCACTTAAACTGCAACATAATGCAACAGGCAAACAGGTGATTTCTGTTCACCTTTACGACTGCCTTTGTTTCCGAAAATTTTGCACGAGTTATTTCATAACATTAGCGTAGAAAGTTAGGTCTAGGTAGCGCACAAAATATTTTGCTTCGTTTAAAATGGCGAGGGGTTGCTGCATGCATGTATTTCTAGTTAAAAATACAAAACAATCGCACCGTAACCATTAGCTTCACTTGGCCCGCA